CAAGGCATAAATCAGACTAATAATTAGAGGTTAGAATGGCATCAAAGAAGAGCGTATTACTTTTCTTTATATATTCATCTCAAGTGCCTGGTACTACCTACTGCTGTTGGATATGGACACTAGGGCAAATGAACTGCATGGTTAATCCAGTGCAATGATTTACAAAAGCAATTATTATCTCTCTATAGCTATGAAACAACAGGAGCAACAATCCCTGACATAATCCTATCACAGTCTGCTACCCCATTATCTCCATACAGGTAAGTCACAGACCTGGTTTTCAGTCTACAATAAGATGCAAATCATCAAGGCTGACACTTGAATAGCTTAGTGCTTGTCACAACTCAGGGAAATGAGTCATTGAATACTGAGCTGTATGGATTGCATGGGTTACTACTAGGAGGTAGCACGGTCAGAGAAAACATTCCTGAGATGGCTCAGTTCCCTCAGTTCATGTACAACCTACAGACCTACCTAAGGAGCATGTTTGTTTCCACAGAGTAGGACCCACAACTTTACAGACACCCATCTTTCAGGGCAGCCTAAAAGCCACTGTGTGAAAATCAGCTCTATGTTTTTCCTACATATTAAATGTTACCTTATGTGATAAACCCGCAGCAACCTACCAGAATGTAGGTTAATGTAAAGCGCAGTTTTAATGTTTTGTGTTTCCTTCCTGCTGCATCTCCTACCTTGGCTTATATTCGCTTGGAGTGTTTTTTCAAACCGGTTTCCCCACACTGCTAACAGTAATGAAGAAGAAACTCCAAAGATGATCAAGAGAGATTTGAAATACTCCATGGCAATATGCAGGTACACTAAAATAGCTCACAGCACTCAGACTATCACCAAGAGGCATGTTTTAGTATGACAGATACATAGTTTATCCTCTCCAAAAGCAGGGAGGAGAAAGAAACAACACCAAGTTCTGTGAGCACTTTGCAACATCCTTTTCTCATTAACTTGTGAATTACATCAGTCAGGGAATATGCAGATTCCTCCCATGAAGTCCCAGGCAGCTGATATGTCCCTCTTCCTATAGTTCTTTAATTAAAAGGGGAAAAAAACCCCAACCCACTGGCCATTGAAGATGCCATTACATTTCTCTGCAGCTCCTGGATAAGTTTTTGATGTTTTCCTTGGCAGGAGGTAATGGAATAATGCACATTGTGAAGGCCAAGCCTATTTCAATGAAAGAGGCCATTTCTGCAATTCCCCCCCCCCCACAGTTAATTCTGAAACCAGAATCTTTGAATTAAGGTCAGCAAATCAAGTGACATAAAATGAAATCATGAGCCTTGCAGCTCTAATTCCTGAAGTGCAATACAGCATATCCTGCCCTCAAAGGATTAACACCAACATGCAAAAAGCATGAGCAGCAGAAAGATACTTTATACTTTAGCTATCGGCTTGAGTGTTACTATGCTGAAATACAGCATACAAAAAAACCCAAACCAAACCAACACAAGAGGGATGTGGAGCTGCTCAAGCAAGTCCAAAGGAGGCCATGGAGATGCTCTGAGGGTTGGAGCAGCTCTGCTCTTGGAGACAGGCTGACAGAGCTTGGGCAGCCTGGAGAAGGTTCTGCAGAGACCTTAGAGCAGCTTCCAGTGCCTAAAGGAGCCAACAAGAAATCTGGAGAGAGTGGCTTTTGACAAGGAAGGGCCTGAAGGAACAGGACAAGGGGAGATTGAGATGAGACATTAGGAAGAGGTTCTTCCCTGTGAGGGTGCTGAGGCCCTGGCACAGGGTGCCCAGAGAAGCTGTGGCTGCCCCATCCCTGGCAGCGTTCGGCCAGGTTGAACAGGGCTTGGAGCAGCCTGCTCTAGTGAAAGTTGTCCCTTCCTGTGGCAGGGGGTTGGAATTGGATGAGCTTACAAGTCCCTTCCAACCCAAACCAGTCTGGGATTCTATGTATTTATCACAATATATTCATCACAGCGACTACATAGTCTCCGGTAGAATGGAAAGAAAAGCCCCGACGCACAGCCTAGAAAACAATATCTGCCCCATGTGAAACCATGTCATAAAGACATCTTCAGCTGCTTGAAGTCTGGAATTCAATAAATTTTTCAGCCCTGGACAGTGGAGCAGGTCCTTAGGAGCTTCTGTCCCCAGCACAACCTGGCCCATAGCTGATGAGCACCTGGGGTACCTTACTGTGGCCATTTAAGATGCTGCTATCTGCTGCTCAGTATCTCAGTCTGTGCCAGAGACTAAAAAAGGAGATTTGAACAGAGGCAACAGGTTTTGAGCCAGACATGTTTCAATATCAGTCTGCTGCTCCGTACTGGGGGTAGCAGCTCTGACGTGTCAATCCTCAGGGGGCAGGAGAAACTGGCAACTGCTGTTGCCAGATGCATGGCATCCACAAAAGCCTTAGAAAGCTCTGGGCAGAATTTGAGTCTTCTATGGCTCTCCTGATGCACTGTCCTCCAGATTCATTAGAAAGTGTTGTGACTCAATTAGCAATTTAACCCAGAATGTATGAGAGATCTACGGCATGGTTTTGAGGGGCAATAGATCTGCTCCTTCTGACTCTAAACAATGCGAACAAAAAATATGATTTTGATTCACTTTTCCTGTTTGCCCCTTTATTGCACAATAGTGTAAGACTAAAGGAAAAAAAGCAGCAGCTTTAGGTGAATATCAGAGAGTATGTCTGATCACGTACTTTGATCAAGACAGAATGACAGCCAAGATGAAAAGGGGAATTCCCTGACCTGTGCTGCTCAGATCCCTTGTTTTCAAGTTTTCTATGATTCTAATACTCAGTCCACAATAATAGAGGTATCATACAGTTAAAACTGTTACATACTTAAAAACCACTCTTAGTAGCATCTATTATCTCTACCTTTTCATGATATTAGATTCATCCTTCCAGTGTCCATCTTTTTGATGCCTCCAGTTTTCCTCAAGCAGAGGGAGAGTACATCAACATCCTGAGGTCTTTGTCATCAGGAGTTCAATGTTCACAGGGCCAGCCCCTTCTTCCTCCTCAGTCTTCAAATCTACTAAGGGTCATTTTCATGTTTTCTTGACAAGAGTCTGTCTATATGATCTTTCTTTCCTTTGGCTCCTGATTATTTGTTGGGGGGTTTTTTTGGTCGTTTGCTGTTAACTCTGCACTGGCTTCATCCAATGGCAACTCTTCACCAAAGGCAACTCTCCTGTAATGACTGCTGACTGGAACCCCCAATATCACCTTGCCTTTTCAGTCTGTGACGCAATCTTTTATTTTTACAAATGGTTGCTTGCTGTTACTATAAAACAAAGCTAAAGTGAAGCCAAATCATGCTGGAATCACCTGACTACTGCACAATCATAGCTAAAGCCAGCCTGGCTGCAGCAGTCCCAGAGAGTCCCTCACATCAACACGTTAATGCTAAGCCTGCAGCCTGGGACTAGGAATGTCACAAATCCTATTCACTGGGCAGTGAGTGTTCTGATCAAGTCTGATCCATTGGATGTAAAGCTTCAAAAGCTGGGAAACAGAAGTTTATTTTACAAGAAGTGCCAAAAAGATGTTACAGTCCATGATTTAATGAACTTTGGAGTGGGTGGCATCCCTGTGCTGTGTCTTTATATCCCCATCTCATTTAATTAGGCTGTAAAAGTTTGTTGAAAGCTTAGATCTAGCGAGTCATACTTTCCAAGGTAATTTGGGGTTGAAAGATTCCCAGTTTCCAGTAGGAAGGTTGGAAGTTCAACAACAGTAACAGCAATAACTGGGACCCAAGTTCTCCCAGATAATTCTGAGCCTCACTCCAATTTTAAGTCTCCCTCTTCTCCACAAGGTTTGCAGATAACGATAAGGTCCTGTTACAGCACAGTGGTTTTTTTTACATTGCTAATCCATAAAATACTATAAAGGAGGCATAAAAGATTGAACTTTATAAAGTGTTCAACACAAAGAACTAAGTATGTGGTTAACGTAACAACGTCCTTTTAAGTTCCCCTGATAATACATGACTGAAATATAACAAGAAAAAAAATAGTCTTTTTTTTTTTTATTAAGGAAATGTCCCTTGCCCTTCACTGCAGGATTAGTCAACTTGTCTGGCTCCACAGGATCTTACAGCTGTCTGGGATACAGAGACCTTTTAAGTTGCTAGGCAGTGTAAGATCTAAACCTTTTGCCTAGCAAATGGCCTAAATAATTCTATTCCGTCAGTTATGAAAGCCTAACAGTCTCTCTCCTGATCTCATCTGCTCACAACTTTAAAGTGTTTGAAGCCTTAATAAATAAGCCTTCTAATTCCCACACACATTATGTTAACAAAAGTGACTCAGTGATCATGTCTGCAGTGAGCTTCCACAGCCACACAAGAGATGTGTGTTCACTCCACCTTCCTGCAGAGTGAAGATACCAGAGCAACATCCCTCACTATTCATCAGCACCCTCACTGAGAGACCATAAAACAAGGGCAACCTACATTACTTCCAACCAAAACAACTAGGGACCTCTCTCAGCTTAGTGCCACCTCCCTGAAAGATCCAGTGTCTCAACAAGATTTCTTTCTTAGTTAAGATCTGTGTTGGGTACCTCCTTTCAAAAGTAGTTTGGGGGGGGGTGGGGGGGGTGATGTTAATGATCTTACTGGATGACAGGCATTAGGATCTTATAGCACATTCAAAGGTAAAGACATGATCAAGGTTTAAGTGTGTGTCAATAGAAGGCATCCACCTATTTTTGAAACAGCTATTGTTCATCTTGATGAGGGCTTCTGGCAGTACCATTTCTCTGAGGTTTTACACAGAACAGCAGAACTAACCCAAATCTTGTTGCTCCAGGATAATCTAGCTCCCATTCAGCTCCAAAAATTGGAGGATCAAGCCTGCATTATCTCCTACCTCCTCAGGGAGGTTAATATACCCCAAGATTCTTCTGACAGCCTCAGTCCTCACTGCCAGAATTAACTAACTTCCTGTAGCAAGGACGTTGATAGCAAGCACTATCCAATGCAGCATATACTAACAGAGCCATTCCTGAGGCTTACCTCCTTCAGATGCATCCTCTGTTCAAAATGAAGACAGAAGACATCTCACACAATGACAGTTTATTGACCTTTCGCATCCTACAGGGTCAGCAAGACTTTCTCCAGAACCTAGGGCAAAATCATACAGCTCAATTAAGGAAAACACCCAAATGAATCCCAGAAGATACTGACTATATCCATATCTACTTGTCTATTGATAAATCATAGTGATATTAAAGAGGCAGAGCATACAGATGTTTTATTTAAGCCATTATTAGAACTGAAAATGATTATTTTGTTTCCAAGGATTAGTGACTAGGCTACAGACCCAGTTGCCATGATGTCAGCTTCAACAGCCTAAAAATTTTACCTGTTTTGTAACGATGGTTTTCAGAGGCCAAAGAGCTAAATTTACTGCTAAATCAACAGAGCCCTGCTAAATTACAACTGCAAGGAACACAGCACCAAAGCTTAATGAGTTGGATTTGACTCAGGTCACAGAGCTGACAGCTTCTGTCTCTCAAATCACCTTTCAGCAGATCAGCAAAGAGGCAATGGCAGAGCCCAGCAGCATCCCAACTCTCCTGTGCCAGAAGGAAAGGGGCACCAAGAGGGAAATGAGGATGCAAAAACCCATCAGAGCCAACCCATCAGAGTCACAAGAAATAAAGCTCAGCCTGTCATCATGGATATCTTGTTACTTCGTAAATGAGAAGTAGGTGCTTGCTCCCGATCACCATTTCTGCTTCACTTGCACAACCATTATGCATTTATTTCCTCCCTATCTCAGAAGTAGACAAACTCCTGCTGCTTCTTACAAAGCACTTTAAAGTCTTACAGGATAAGGCATAAAATCTTATTTGTTATTACTGTATAACTGTCAGGGAGCTGCGCCACAAGGTGATGGTGAGCCAAGAGCTAGCAGTGGCCACAGTGCAGGCTGGGCAGTAAACCCATCGACAGGCACCACAGCACCAGAACTGGGCAAGCAGAATGGGGCGGTGATAGCAAGATGTCCTATCAACAGTCCTGTGATCACCAGGCAGATATAAAGGGCCAATTCAGGTCCAAGGTTAGTTCAGGAAACCCAAACAACAATCCAGGAACAGACCTAGGAACAGCTACATCCACAACACGGTGAAAGGACTGGGTCTCTAAGCCTGAGCTTCAACGAAACCCCTAGGCCCTTGGTCAGAATATGTGGCATGAGGTCCCAGATAAGGTTAGGTAGAGCATTAAAAGCCTGCTGGTGACAAGGTGTAAGCGCCAACAGCAATTCCAAGAATACCTTCCCAACAAAGCAAAGCCTTTCCCACAAGAACTTGAGGCATCTTTCATATGACCAAGCTGCAATAAATTGTTGATTGGTGAAGAAAGTCAGGAAAATTTTTCTGTTCAAAATTTGATCCTTGCAGATCTTATCAGCTAAGAAGGGATTAAACTCAAGTTAATTATTTGGTGCAAATTACAGGCAAAGCAAGTCTGTGCTGAAACACTGTGCTTGAACCCAGTTGTGGCTGAGACTGACTGCCCAGATCTGGCTCCAGGCTCTTTAGGATGGAGCTGCACACTCTAGAGACAGAAGCAGTGGATCAGTACCAGTGTGGAGCAGCTTTGCCCCTGAGAGAGCAGAAAGAGCCACGCTGGGTAAATTCCACATAGATATTGCAGAGTATCCCAAGACTGGCCAGTTTTCCCCACTGCCTGCACCAATCCAGATCAACAATCAGCACAACAGACCCATCTTTATGTGTCCCAAGTTTTCTCTGGGACAAATTATGCCCCAAAGTGGATGGAAAGGTTGCTTCACAACAGACCTTTTGCCCCTAAGCTCTAAAAAGGGAGATGAATTCCAGTTCTGATTGAAGACTGATGTTATGCTTTAGCAGCTAGTGATCTCTGAGCAAAATAAAAAAGTGATTAGAAATCAAAAGCTGGGCACTGGCTTGAAGTTAATGAAGTTAATTTATCATAGATCCTGCTTCAAGTAAAAATAACATACTGTCTCATGAAAATCTGGGATAATGGTTGCTCTGACACCAGTCAGCGCTTCCAGAGTGAACAGCAAAATTAGTGGTCAAGGAAATGAAAAGTGAAACAGTGATTTATATGCAGCCCTAGGTAATAGCAGTGAAATTAGTGAAATTAGCTCCAGATATTATTTCTGCTCCTTAGGTAAATCATTTGAAACATGTCAGGCAAAAGCAAATTCTTGTATCAACTGCAACTGCCCTGAGAATGCATTTCCAGGGGTGTAAACCTAGGGAAAAAGAGAACTGCAAAGGCAGATTAATGCATCATAATGCACAAAGTAAGGGGAAAAGGTCTAAACAACATGAAAGTTTCCATCATTAAGGATTTGTAAGGGAATGAATTAGATGGTTTGCTATGTTAAAGCTCCAGAGCCTACTGACGGAGTGTTCTATCAAAGCCCATGCACACTCGCTGTTTCATTCCCCTCAAAAAAACATTCTGAATGTTCACATCCTAGTGTAATGCACTACAGAAAGAAGTCAAATGCGTACTAAAGATGGAAATTCAACAAGGAATCAAGACGATATTTAAGGCACAAGTGTTTCTTTGAATGCAAATGTAACATTTGCAGTATGTGCTAAAATGGGTAAAACAGATAGATAAGCAGTAGAGTCAGAATCAACAAGGTTGAAAAAGACCTTTAAGACCAAGTCCAACCGCTACCCCAGCACTGCCAAGCCCACCATTAACCCATACCACTAAGGGCAAACTGATCTCCCCTCATGGCTGCCCCTCATGATTTCCACTTGCCGCCACCCCTCATCTGCCCCCCACAGCTGCCCACACTGTACCGCTGCTGCCCCTATACCTCATGGCCACTCCTCCTCCCCACTCATGATCACCCCCTCATGACTGCCCCTCACCAGTCATGGCCATTCTTCATGCCCCATGGCCGCCCTTGCTCTCCCCTCATGATCTTTCCTTGTGGCCACCCTTCCTCTCCCCTCACGACATCCCCTCACCACTCATGGCTATTCCTCCTCTCCCCTCACGAGCTCCCTTTGTGGCTGCTCCCTTCTTTTTCCTCACCATCTCCCCACATGACCGTCCCTTCACCTGTCATGGCTGCCCCTTCTTTCCCCTCGCGACCTTCCATCATGGCCGCCCCACCTCTCCCCTCACGGCTGCCCCTCTCTCCCTCTCCCCACCCCTCTGACTGACCTCCTTTGGATCTGTAATGGCGCAGATGAGGACGCACCAGCTCCTGTGTTCTCCACCTGTCTGGGACAAATTCAGACCCAAACTCCTCTGGTCCAGGCCCAGATTCACGGCCGTGCAGGGAAGTTACCCTCGAATGGCCCCACATCAGGGATTTCCTGTAACTCACCCTGAACATCGGCCATGATGCGTGGTGCCCAGGCAGGAACGGCTGCGTTAGTGCTGCAGGACACGCACGTGGCTCCTCTGGGAAGAGCGCTGCGAATTCACAACGTTCACTTCGCATTTGCCTTTCCTGTCCTTTTTAGGGGGTTTTTCCCCCTGTGGTACATTGTGGTGCCCTGGTACTCAGCCAGCTCACCCAGCTAACAGCAAGGTAGGTGACAGACAAGGCTGCCTGAAACCTGGAGGCAGACACCCGGCAGGCAGCCCGTCCTGCTCCAGGCATCTGAGTTCTGGCTGCAGCTCCTCTCAAGCCTGTGGGGCTTCCCTAATATTCACTGGCTTGTCTACATAATAAAGCAATAAAGTAACCAATGAATTACATTGTTTGCTAGTCTAACAGCCCAATAAGGACAATGATGTTAAGATCTCACACTGAACCCGCAAAGAGATGTTATCTAACATTCAGTATTTGGACCCACTAAGAACTGAAATAAGAGCACAAAGGACTTTAGCTCAAAGCAAAGCTTCCAAATGTCAATGTCAAACAACTACAGATGTACAATTTTGCCTCACTGGTTTATGAAAAAGCCTGCTACAGAAAGAAGAACACTTAAGAGAGAGCAGGCGTATCACTGAAATCCATCCTGGTCAAGTTTAAGGGCATCAGAAGCTGATGCAGTTCGATAGCAATACAAAAGCAATAAGCAAACGCTTTCTTAATATACAACCACTTTCACAGGTAGGATTGAGCGCTCTAAAATAGAAATTAAGAAGCATAAAGAGAAACAGTGAATTTCACATGGCAAGGACTGTCCCAAATAACTGCTGGGGTTTAAGAACTACAGTCACCTCAAGAAAAAAATAAAACCCAGACCACAAAGATTGCTTCTATAGAGATTTTATAGAGATGATAAAACCTATGGACATCTAAGCCAGACAAATGACTACTTGAAAGTGCCCTAAAGAAGTGGCTCTACTCTTTTCGTTTCCAGATGGAAGCAGTTATTAGCAGAATGTGATTAATGTGATTAATCAATGCAAAACAGTGGAGAGAAACCAGAGTAGGAAGCATCGGCCACGTTTCCATTATTTTCCTATGCCAACAATTCTTCTGTCTTTATCCTCGTTCAGCCACTCTTCCAAATAACCATTTTCAACAGGTTTGCTTTCCAAGATGTGGAAGCACTAAAACCATACGCATTTACTGCAACAGCAGTAGCATGTCTTCAGCTGTGCATGTCCAACTGAATGACCTACATCCAATAACTGCATTAAGGCTGGATTGTCATATTTCATAAGCAACAACAGAATGTCCCAACTCGCATCTCAGAAGTGCTGCTCTATTAGAGACAGGAACATCCTCCTAACTCCTTGAATGTGTCTTGAAAATTATAACCTGTATCAACCAGAAAAGCATGATCACAGGTTTTGTCATGCATTGAGATGCAAAAAACTAAGCCAAAAAAAAATCTATTATACTGAGATGCTTCTGTCAGTGAAGTCTGTATTTAGGAGCTGGTCCCTGTGCTACAGAGCTTATTCTGCAGTCATCAGTAGCCTGCTCTGTAGAGGTCGTTGTGAAGAACCTGCATTTCATCTATCAGCAAATGGCACAGAGTAGAAGACAAATAATGTGCGTCCAAAAGAATTGACATGACAGGTAAGCAGAAAAACACATGCTCCCAATGCTGTGGGAGAGGTAGGCAAGAGTTGCATTGTCATCACACCTCCTGATTTCAATATATATTGGCATCTCCATAGTTTAACTAATA